GTCCCAAAGAGCACAGCATGGATGTCCTCCTACTTTCACAGCAATGGTAGACGCTGGTCCAACTAAACCCTTGGGAAGACCCTTTGGCTCACAGCTGTGTATCTGGCTCTTTTTGGCAAAACAAGCTCTATCTTCAGCATGGCTGTTCGGATCACTCTTTGTTCCTTTAGCCCTTTTTAAGGAACGTACTAGCTTGTTGATTACAAGAGTGGCATTTTCAGGGGCTTTACATTTAGTTGCGATGTGTCCCTCTTCACCACATCGGTAACAAAAGTAGTCAGCTTTGGGTTTTGAAAGCTGGTGTCGCGATGAACTTGAAACAGGGGTTTGTGGTAACTGGGCATGGCTTGTTGAATTACTTTGACCAACACTCATTATAGCTAGCTGTTGTTGTAACTGCTGTACTTGTTTTTTCAACACCTGAACCTCAGTCTCTTTGACTACTTCCTTTGAGTCTGTGGGGCTTAATTGGCGTGGTTTCACTCTGTTCTCGATCATCATGGATGAAGCAATATTTGAACGATCACTTTTTATCTGAGCCCTCAATTCTTGAATTTCTGCTTTAAGTTCATGTACAACAGTGGGACAAATGCTTTCTTCCTGCAAGTGTATGGGCTTTGCAGTAGCAGTTATCTTGCGTCGAGTGGCTTCTATCTCCTCAGCCTCACGAACCTCATTTAACAGACTCAGGAAAGTTGGTGGATTTTCTTTCCGCTCCCTTAATCGCAACTGCAATAGCATCATGTCAGATTCAACAGCTCCTCGAATCAATTGCTCTACTCTAGCCTTATCAGCATTCGCAGAAGTCAGTCCCCCTTTTTGGATGACTTTAGTCAGTGATTTCTCCATTCTTCTCAGAAAAGCAGAAAGTGACTCACCAGGACACTGTCTAAGAAGCCGAAAAGCAAAGTATAAGTCTTCTCCAGACTCAGAAGATCCAAAAGTACTTTCCAGAGCTTCCACATATTTCAACGCTTCAGCATCAGGACATGACATACGGACAGCTTTAATGATTTCCAGGGCTGGTCCCTTTAAACTTTCCACAATTCTTCTCCGTTTCTCCTTTTCAGAGCACTCACATTCAGATATCATCAACTTAGCTTGTTCAATCCAGTGATCCATAGTTTCTTCTCCTACAGGGGTTGGAACAATACCAGAGAAGGTACGTAAACGACGGTAGGCACTTCCATCACTCGATGGTCTTGCTGTTTTTTCAAGAATTTCACCCACTGCACGAATTATTGACTCAGGTGAACTGGGATTTGCACTCTGTGGAGAAAATAGAGCATGTACATCAGTCATAGACTTGCCTTCATCCTTCAGAAACTTGGAGAGCTTGTCAGCAAACTCTGCTGGAGCAACATGAGCTGATTCTCTTTCCGTAGCTAAGATAATCATCCAGGCTTCCTCACCATCTGTAGGATGCAATTCCTCAGGGCAATTAGTGGGATCTACAACTTCTCTGCATTCACACAGCACTAACAGAGTTGTCGGAGTGGCTCCACCTTTTGAGTCTCGAACTCGTACTCGTCCAAAGAGCTTCACACTCTCGGCCACTTTTTCAATGCAAGCAGTCTCAGTGTTTTGTGGTACTCCTGTCAGCAACAACGCATGAGCTGGGTCGATTACTGCTTCTCTGCACCACTCAAGAAGTTCACTCTGCAGTTGTGGGTCACTTCTGAAAGACATTTCTCAATAATAAGCAGTTAGTTACAAGATGGTGTCAGCTTTTCCTCTTCAGTGTTCTTAACGTGTATTAAGGTGTTTAATTTACTCTTCTTAGTGTATCAGGAAAAGGTGAGAGTGTATCCCGGACGAGCCCCCAATTTGTGTAGCGCCCCTGCCCTCTTAGGCTTTGTCCTGACCTAAGCTCTATAGGGTGGAGCACCGGATTCCTACAGTTTAGCCTCTCGACTATTATTTCACTCCCCCTAATCAGATACCACTTTTAGAGAACTTCAATGAATAAGTAAGCAAAACAAATTAAGTTATAAACAAATAGAAATTTATTAATAAACAAAATAAAATAAAGATGAGTATAGATGTATTTGTTATTTATATAGGTGATATTATAGGTATAAATATAATTATAATACTATTTATAATGAGATATGAATTATTAATACAACCTTATATCAATACACAATAGATAAAACACTAATTGTAAAGGGAAACAGTTATTAACCTTCAATAAACACACAGTATGAGTATCCAACAACTGGACCCCAATCACTTAAGCAATAAGCATTTTACACTTTTGTGACTTGATGCACTTTTTAGACGCTCCCTTACTAAAACTATATTCACCCTTCAATGATTTAGATAACTCACAATTATTTAGTGCATTCGTATCTCAGATTATAGAATATCAAAGCAAATATTCTCTAAAAAAAATATAGAAATAACACCTTTTTCACTCTTTTGTAAGCGTTAACAGCAAATAAACACTTTTGCAACACTGAAATATTGAAAGTGGGCCCACTCTCACACACACACACACAGTCTCACCCACCCTCGATGCAGGCCTGTTATGTTGCTCGGGTGCGTAGTGGCCTTTGAAACTGCAAAATGGCCTCTTCACTCTTACAAGAGCAAAAAGAAAACACTGTAAATGTACCTGGCGTTCCGGCAACCGTCACGATCGCCGTCCGTCCCGCGATCGATGTCCGTCCGTTCCGCGCGATGCCGTCTGTCCCGCGCTCGATGTTCCCACCGCGAACCGTCAGTCCGATGCAGCGTCAGCACACAGCATGAACACTCCCGCCGATGCAATGAATCTGTCCTCCTGAACGAGCTTTCACTTTCTTACAGTTCACTCGCTAAAACACTGCGTCAGTATAGTGTAGCAGACGCTAAAACACGAGGATATGATCTCACACGAGCGTCAATGTCTTCAGCTCGCAAACGGTCTCCATATACTCGCAATTATAACACTTAATGCATACACTACGGTTCTTAAACAGCTTTAGCACACTTTAAATCAATGTAGACTGTATACAACTCACGATTTGCAGTTATAATACTTAAGTTTCTCTCAGAGACAAGCCTCTGCGGTCTCGTTCTCTCAATCTTCTCCTCAGCTCTCACGATAAACCAATAATAGCTTATTCACCTATAAGAGAGGCGGGGACTAATTGGTATAGACCCAATCAGGTATTAACACACAAACTTGATAGCAAAAAGCACATTTTCACCCAAGTGTAAATCAACCAAACACTGAAATGTAGCGAACGAGTTACTTAAAGGGAAACATACCATATAAGTCCTATAATAGTATGCATACTAAAAATGCATTTTCTTAACAGAATAGTGGTCTGTTAATATTCTCTATCTATTAGATTACCATAATATGAAAAATATAATTATAATCTCTGTATATTTCTATGTATAAAAATATATTATGCTCTGCTTTTAGGTGCAAGTGGGTTTAAGTAAGCTCTTTTTTTAATAAGGGCTACATTAACCTCTCATTTCCTCTTATTTCTCTCATGCATTTGTTATATGTTATTCATAATTCTCCCTTATTGTTTAAAAAGGAACTATAGTTTGTAGAGACTGTATTCTGTTTTATTTGTAAATGTTTTGTTGTTATAAATAAAAATACAAAAAATTATGATGACGCCATGTGATCGGTCATCATGACTGCAGCAACTTTGAGTCCCGAAGTGTCCAGCTGTCCGTCTTGACGGCTCCGTTTTCAACTCTGCCTCCGCCTGCGCTCGGCTAATCTCGTTGATCACCAGCTGCAGCTGAGCTTTAGATACGTGACTAAAGCGATTCAAATTCCCCTAGATCACATGACTTAAGCTATTTGAAACACCCAAGTCACGTGAGCAAAGTGATTTGAAACACTCTGATACGTGACTAAAGCAATTTGAAACAGCCAGGTCATGTGATTAATGCAAGTCGAAACACCCAGGTCACGTGACTAAAGTGATAAGAAACACCCAGGTCATTTGACTAAAATAAATCGAAACACCCAGGTCACGCGACTAAAGCGATTTGAAACTCCCAGGTCACGTGACTTAAGCGATTTAAAACCCCCCAGGTCACGTGACTCAAGCAATTTGAAAAACCCAAGTCATGTGACCGAAGTGCTTCGAAACACTTAGATACGTGACTAAAGTGATTCGAAACAGCCAGGTCATGTGATTAATGCGAGTCGAAACATCCAGGTCACTTGACTAAAGTGTTTCAAAAAACCCAGGTCACGTGACTAAAACTAATCTAAACACTCAGGTCACATGACTAAACCAATTTAAAACACCCAGGTCACCTGACTAAAGGATTAGAAACACCCAGGTCATGTGACTAAAACAATTCAAAACACCAGTCACGTGACTAAAGCGTTTCGAAACACCCAGGTCACATGACTAAAGCTATTTGAAACACGAAGGTCACATGACTAAAGCAATTCGAAACACCAGTCAAGTAACTAAAGCGTTTTGAAACACCCAGGTCACGTGACTAAAGCTATTCGAAACACCCAGATCACATGATTAAAGCAATTCAAAGCATTGGTCATTTCAGAAGCCTTTCGAGACCTGGCGAATTTGCGTTTCATTGACAAGGTCAGAAAAAAACTATCCCATGTAGCCTAGTGAGTAACTGTGCCTGAAAAGTCCAGAGTTTGAATAGGTACAATTAATTCTGACATACTACTCGGCTCGCATACTGTTGTTAGCATCGCTACCAAATAGTATGCAATTTCGAATGCAGCTCATGTCTCCCTCTCTTTGTGTTTCAGTTTAGATTGTCAAACATCAATTTTTTTTTTTTTTTTTACATTTCAAGGCACTTCGCGGGATACTAAAAATTGGGCGTGGTTACAACTTACGGCTCACGCTATTGGTTCAACCGCAGCGGGGCCTTCCCTACGTCATCAGCGAAAGGAAGTCATATTAGCGGAAGAGAAAAAGCTATTGTATTATGATTACAAAGACAAACAGCACATCAAACAGCACCACGTTGACTTTAATCATTAAGGTATTCAAGATTACCTCTGTGTACGCTGCTGTTGACCTGTATTCCCACGGAGCGCAGATTGGCTTGGTTCTGGCGGACCGACCGCAGCTCGCTCTCGGTGAACTGGAGCTTCAGCAGCAGACTCTGGACCTCCATCTGCCGGCGGCTCATCTCCTGCTCCACCGCCCGGCTCATCTCCAGCAGCGCGCATTTGGCGAAGCGCTCGATAATCGACGCCAGCTGCGCCTGGATGTCAGCAGATGTGGACATTTTAGTCGTTTAAATGTCGGTGGAGATCGTGTTTTATCGATGGGAAGTCTGGGTGTTCTCCAGAGAAGCTCCGCGCGGTGTTTTCCTTTCTTTCAGCCGAGCCTGTGAATAGTCGCGCATGCATCAATAGTGTTTACACAAACCAAACAAAACACTTGGCCATTTCCTACTGATGTACGTCACTGCTTGACGGACCAATAACAGACTGCGCTGGGTCTCTTTAGTACCGTAAACACTCCAATTGAAGCTCCTTCAAATACACAAAATGGACTTGGCTTTAAAATATGAATGAATAACAATTTTCACAATATTCACGTTATTCTTTAATGCGTATGTGCGATTGTTTTAGAACTTTTGATTCAGTTGCCTATTGGAGAAATGACCAGGAATAATAAACAGTTAAAGGTTGTTAAACCAAGTACGTGTGTTCATGATTATACTTAAAAAGTAGAATAATATAATAAGAAAATAAAAGTTTGCAACATCAAGCAGCATAATGAGCTGTTTTATCGTCTAAAAATGAAGGAGACCGGGAGTCTCGCGCCAAAAAGATTCCCGCTTGTTTGTGAAGAATAAGGAGAATGAACTATACTGATGTTACCTAAACAATGATAAAAAAAAATTCAACAATGTTTTGAGGCTTGTTTAGGATTAATTAAATGGATACTTACTCTGATCGGCCTTTAATTAAAGAAAGAAAAGAAAAAAACACGTCGTGGATAGGTAACTATAACAACAGGAAGACCGTTATTTACCACAGGCTGATTTGCGAGTTATCACAACACAGATTTCTTTGTTGTTATTATGGACATTCTGTGAATGTTTCATCAACTTGCTTGATGAAATCCTAAACATTTTTCTAAACAATGTTAAATTCCGCTTCATATTGTCGCCAAAGCACATAGATATTTACATTAGATGTCGCCCACGCTGTTGTTGTCTATTGGAAGGAGTGCGTCAACAGAGCCGCCATTTTAGTACAGGGTAGCGCTGCTTTGAAAAGAATGTGGGATCAAGGTGCAGTGAAGGATATATATCGCTATTTCTTAGCCAGATATTTTAAAAAATGTCTAAAAAATAATATTTGTGAATCTAGAATTTAAATATTTTAAAATGTTAATAAATAAATGCAAAATACAGCACGCAGTATGGAAAATGTGCAGGTATTTTATTGCAAAACAAAAGGTGGCTGACTTAAGAGTGACAGCAAACTATTCAAAACATCACTTCCCAGACAGCACACATACGTTGGGCCGACGTCGTGCCGATTTTCAAAATTCCATCGGCGCGATGTCGCTCAGGGAGCGTTTGCTAATTGGCAAAATGTCGCCGCGACGTCGGCACATGATCGGAAACGCTGTCCGGCCGATGTTAGGACGACGCAACCGGAAATGCCGTCCGCTCCGCGGAGGCGCTGTTCTCAGGCGTTTTGCTCATACTTATGGACCACTAGCTGCAGCAGCTGCTTATTTATAATAAACATGACACACCACTCTCAATAACAGTTGAAGATTTATTAATATTTTTCACAAACATACAAATAGATTAACATACTTTTATCACACATAATCATGTTTTACTACGTTTAAAACAAAACCAACAAGTTGTACTATAACCATGGCTGAAATACTGTGCAATAAAGATTTTAAATACAAAGTCCATTGCAGCATTTACATTAAGACCATAGGAATATTTACAAGTACTTCAAAACATGTACACTAAGGGTGACTATAGTTTACTATAGTAAAAACACAAATAACTTGTGTAAGCACATGTTATAATGCTTATAATTTCTTAAATAGTGTTGAAGAAAATGCATGTTTCCAAGACTATAATTTTAAAATACAAGATAATACCAGTCATGTGTTCAGTATCCAAAAGACTTTCTTCAGGGAGTTACAATAATAAAAGAGTACACAAACACAAAATAAATACCAAGCAAACAATATTTACAGTAGTAAATAAAATCATTTAAATTAAAATAATTTGATAAAATCTTATTAAAGTCTGTAGACAATTTTTTTTACAATTTTTTTATAAATGGCATTCAACAATTTGCTATCTCCTCTGAACTAAAAACGCATCAATAATATAAAATAACAATACTTTCTCAGAGACAACCAGTTTTTTTAAGCAACCTCTAATGCACGACACAAAACAGATTTTGTCATATATATATATATATATATATATATATATATATATATATATATGACAAAATCTATATATATATGACAAAATATATATATATAATCCCTTAATTTCTGTTTAACGGAAATATTTTTAACACATTTCTAATCACAATAGTTTTAATAACTCATTTCTAATAACTGAGTAAATAATATTTGACTAGATATTCTTCAAGACACTTCTATACAGCCTAAAGTGACATTTAAAGGCTTAACTAGGTTAATTTGCTTAACTAGGCAGGTTAGGGTAATTAGCCAAGTTATTGTATATCGATGGTTTGTTCTGTAGACAGTCGCAAAAAATTGCTTGAAGGGGCTAATAATATTGACCTTAAAATGTTTTTTAAAAAATTCAAAACTGTTTTTATTCTAGCCGAAATAAAAGAAATAAGACTTTCTCCAGAAGAAAACATAACATTTTCTTGCTCTGACTTATATATATATATATATATATATATATATATATATATAAAACTGGTTGTAAATTGTGTACAATGTTCCAAGAAAACAGACAAAATGAAAAGAAATAACCTGTCATTTAGTTTTGTTTTATCTTGTAGAATGTTGCTTACACATAAAAGGGGATATATAGGTGGAATAAAAAGTGTGTCACATCCTCGAAATTGTTCTTGTATGTTGTCTTCATCTTTAGTCTTCACAAGTGAGGCTGGCCCAAACCGGGACTGCAGTAGCCAAATCTAATCCTTGTAGTGGAAACCCTTAAATAAAGCAAGAAACCAAAAGGAGAAAGATTAGCATTGCAGCAGTTCATATTACCACAAATATATATTATTTGTTTCATGACATATAACTGGAGTATGTATTATGCAAGTGCATAGCTAAAATGTGTAATTTAATTTAAACTTAAAGAGTGTGTCTGAGCACTAATTTTCAGAAAAGCCATTTGAAAGTTAAATTCCTTGTGAAATCATAATGAATGTTTTTTTTTGGTTTTTAGTATCATTGTGTTAGTATAAATGTGTCTCTAAATATATGTCAAATCTTCAGATACCACATTACATGCAAATTAAACTAAGTTTCGTCAACTAAAATGTCACAATGTACACCACATTTAATATATCATAGCTAGGGCCAGGAGGAATCTGCGGATGTTTTTTGCTATTTCTGCTGAAAATTTTGGTGGAAGTCCGCGGATTTCTGCGGAATTATTTTGGGAGTATCATAACTAAAACCTTAATATATGAAATAAAAAATAATATATTTTTAAGTTTTATTTAATGTTTAAAATGCTAATCCAATTAGATTCACTTTATTTGGTAAATAAAGCAAGTTTTTCATGTAACATATCTAGTAAGACAGAAAATATTACTGTACAAACTGCATTGTACATAAATCAGATGAACATTTTCACATTAGTCAATAATATTACTGAAATTAATAAAAAAAACTGAATAAATATAGATTTACACACATTTACTCAAGTAAATAAACAGAAATAATGATAGGCTAAACATCTGCGGAGTTCTGCGAAAAATCCGGGTGGGCCTAATCATAGCTTTATTTCTGCTACAAAAAGGTTTTTCAGCAAACAACTTCTATTATATGTAGGCTATAGAGGAGGATATAAAAAGAAATGATATATTCAACTCTCTAATTAAATGCACCTTATGCAGCTAATCAGGTCTTTTAGGCTTATTTGAAAACTTAAATGACGTGTTGACCACAGTTGAACAACGCTCAGTGAGAATACTTTTTTGCACAAATTCTTTTTGTTCTAAAGAAACATGTCTGATTGCTAGCAATCATCAAAGAGCAAACTTTTTTTTTTTCAAATAAATACTATGCTTTTAAAAATAAACTTTTCATACATCAAGAATACTAAAAATATGTTTATTTAAAATGTTTTATATATAAAAAAAACAGCTTGAGGAGAGAATCAGTACATTGGAATACTATTTTTTCAGAAGGATCATGTGACACTATTAATTATATACATTGTATTAAATTCACAGTATTACTGCTTGACTGTATTAATTAAATAAAGCTGACACTATCAGAAGAGAATTTACCATACCAACCTAAAAGCTTTAAACAGTAGTGTATGTTTAAGATGTTACTTACTAGTCCTATTGTACTTTGGAGAGGTTGTCTGACAGGAGGATCCCTTCAACTCAGCAGAATTCTCAGCAGACCATCAGCGTACGCCAATCTAAGAATAAAATAAGCAATTTGTTAAAAACCAAAAATATATATTTTATATTTCCAGGTTTATAGGAAAGAAGAAAGCTAAAGCAGATTTAAAATGTAGAAAAAAAAAAACCTATTGACAATTTAATGGCACAACATACCCTAAACTAAGCACACTCAAATGGTTAATTTTAACTGTTAAGGATTCATTCATTCATTGTCTTTTGGGCTTAGTCCCTTTATTAATCTGGGGTCACCACAGCGGAATGAAAGGCCAACTTAGCCAGCATATGTTTTACGCAGCGGATGCCCTTCCAGCAGCAACCAATACACACTCATTCACACACACTTATACACTGGTCAATTTTAGCATACCCAATTCACCTATGTCTTTGGACTTGGGAAAACCGGAGCACCCGGAGGAAACCCACGCCAACACGGGGAGAGCATGCAAACTTCACACAGAAACGCCAACTGACCCAGTCGAAGCTTGAAGCAGCAACCTTCTTGCTGTGAGGCAAACGTGCTACCCTCTGCGCCACCATGCTGCCCTGTTAAGGAATCAGATTAATATAAATGAATTGACATGTTTATTTAGTGTCTGACACATTAAATATTGCATTTTTAAATATTGTTTCATTTTAAGATTTATTTCAGAATTAACTATAGAACCGGATATATCGTCACATTTTCATGCACAGCAGCATTTCCAAGAACATAAAAAAAACAGAATATAGGCCAACTGAAAAAAAAATAAATTAAAAAATTCTGAGGGTTTAATCTTGGATAAAAATATCACAGTTTCACAATATTGTGATTACTGCTCTGAAATGTGTTTTTTTTTTATCTCTGTGTAAAAAACAGCTACTTTTCCCCCATTGAACACAATATGTTTTGTTTTAAGAAACATTTAAAATATTTTGTTACAGTAAACATGCCAGGCTAAATAATAATTTAATAAAATAGTACTATCTTCATTAGACTCAAAAACACTGATTTCTTGTGAAGGCATAATAAGCTATTTGTTTTTCAGATGTTTGCTGAATCGTGAGCTGACCAGTAGCTTTTGATGTGGAGGGTCTTTTGCTGTTGTAGATAGTGTTGGACTATTTTTTTAAGTCTTTGATAACGCGCTAAAAACCATATACAATGCATCAGGAAAGTATTGATAGCGCTTTACTTTTTCCACATTTTTAATGTTTCAGTCTTATTTCAAAATGGATTAAATTCATTAATTTCCTCAAAATTCTACCCACAATCCCCATAATGTGTGTTGACCCGATTTTAGTTAATCATTTACAAGTCAATATTGCCTATATGGATTGTAATTTTAAAAAAAATTAACATGTAAAATTGCAGTGTTAAATGCAATGCCATCAAACATTTTAGACGCACCAGTGCAAAAAGCTAGTCTAGAGCACTTGGAATGCTGGTGTAGTTCTAGTTAAATTCAGTTCAGTTAAAGCTGTATATGCAACAGGTCTCAAGTAGAGGATATAGTATTTAACTAATCTTAACAACTAAACATTTACGAATCTGTATTAGCCAGCTCATGTACTACAATGTAACATACTGTATATTGCCACCTTGATACTTAAGCTTTCTTTAAAATATTTTGTGTTCAACCGATTAATTAATTCTTTCATTTAATTTTTTCTGTGCAATAGTATAGCTTACACTGGTGTATTTGTATGGACCCCCCAAAATAGCGGAGGCCACTTTCTGGCCACCCAAGTATAAACTTCTAGCCTAGCCACTGTGAACTACCTGTCTGTCCTGCTCCAGAACTCTTTGTCGGCTGCTTGTATGTCTGGATACAGCTGCACAAGTCTTTTAACACTGACAAATACAGCCTCTGCACATCCTCACAACCAGGAGAACAGAATGATCAGGAGGACCTGAAAAATATAACCAACTGAAATCAGTTGAAATGTATTTTGTCTTGTAATGATGGCACAAAAATAAATTATTTTTCACAAAGGATGTGCTGTTACCTATGAAACGGTCTATAATGAATGATCTTTTTGATCCTGTTTCCTTGATGTCATTCACTCAGAGATGGTTTGGACATTTGATTGTATCTAAACTGTAATGAATTTAAGTTACACAAACATTGATAGCAGGACCATTGATCTTGTAACTGATACAAATTGTTAAGTATTGAACAAGTCTGCAACCAAACTAGTCAAGTTAATAATACTAATCTCAACTCAACTATGATTAGTTGTCTTGTTTCTGCTGCCCAGACGGTCACACCTGCTTATAAAAAAAGGAAAAAGTATGGTATTTTTACAACAATGAAACTGCAAACAACTTAACTATAAGGGGGTAAGCAGTGAGCATCTTTTATTATAAGCAATTTACTGAATACTTTGTCACTGGTATTACCTAAAAACCAAACGTCCCAAGTTTGGCTCATAGCTGTCCACACATCTGCCCAGTAGCTTGTGGTAATACTGAAGACACTGATCAGCTGGTCCAACTGAGTTTGGAGTTGAACTGCAATCAGGCATCCAATACTGCAAAGAAAGAGAAACTCACTTTGGGTTAACAAATAATGTAATCCCACACATTTCAAGTAATTGTGCAGTTAATTCTCTTAAAATGAATGAATGAATTCTCTTATTGAATTTTCTGAGAGCTTATGAATATATTTTGTTTTCCCAAAATAGCATGTACTGAAACACAAAATTATATAAATATAATTTAATAAGAGCGTGACGTGGTGGCACAATAGGTAGTGCTGTCGCCTTACAGCAAGGATGCTGACTCGAGCCGCAGCTGGATCAGCAGGCATATCTGTGTGTAGTTTGCAAATTCTCTCTGCGTTTGGTGGGTTTTCTCTGGGTGCTCCGGTTTTGCCTACAAGTCCAAAGACATGGGGTACAGGTGAATTGGGTAGGCTAAATTGTCTGTAGTTTATGAGTGAGAACAAGCGTATATGGTTGTTTCCCAGTGATGGCTTGCAGCTGGAAGGGCATCCACTGCGTAAAACATATGCTGGATAAGTTGACAGTTCATTCCGCTGTGGTTACCCCAGATTAATAAAGGGACTAAGCAGAAAAGAAAATGAATGAATGAATGAATGAATGAATGAATTTAATAAGAGTTAAACTGATCTGTTAACATGTCTGTCAGGAGCTGATCTACCTGTTGTCAAACTGATGAAAATGTTTTCTCAATTTACTTTAACATTTTTGTGTTTGTTTATGTTTTTATAACTTGCAGCCGTTGTTAAATTTAAAAGTATTTTAAACATGCATGGACATCTAAATGCATATAGGGCACATATCTCAAAACATTATGAAATATTTCCAGATAAATCAATTTTGAATTAAAATGTATATTAATCTCCAGACTTGCATCTCCCTGATCTTTTTAAAAGAACGGCCATTCGTTTGCTCATCACTGTTTGACAAGTGTCTGGCAGTCAGTCAAAAATATACTTACATATAAAGATGTTCATCAGCAACACGGCACTTAGGTTAAACTTTGACCTCCTTTTCAGTTGATGTGGAAAACAAAAGCAAAAGAAAGAAAAAACAAAACGACTGAATACAAGTTGCATATCATGCCTGTACAAATCAAAAATTATTCATTTAGGGCTTAAATTGACTTAAGGATGAGTTAAGGTGTAAGGGATGGGTGAACAGTGTAAATATACATGTAATTCATAGCTATGATGTAAAGCTAAATTTTCAGCATCATTACTCAAGTCTTCAGTGTCACTTGATTTTTCAGAAATCTTTTTTTAAGATGTTGATTTAGTGCTTGAGGTTGAACTAATATAATGGTGATTATCAAATGGTGCTGATTTGCTGCTCAAGAAACATTTCGGATTGCTATCAATGCTAAAAACAGATGTGATGACAAATAATTTAGTGTAAACTTTTTTCTAAGATTTAATAAATCAATTAATCATAAAAAATTAAACAAAATGAAAATCACAAATATTACTTCATTAGCAGCAAATCTATATATTTACTAAGTTCTGAAGAATCATGTGATGTGAAATTTAATACCACTAACATGTTTCAATGTCAAAACTTTCTTAAAACAACTGCAATAAAGACAAGTAACAGATGCATAATATATAGACATGTAGCGTGTGCATAATGATGTGCAATGGAAATTCATATGAATTAATCCTATGCTTAAAGTTACCTGTCTTTCCTGTATCTCTGTGATCAGCTCCCTTCAGAAATTTAGGAATCTTGAGTTATATTTTCTGTAGCAGGAGGTTATTCTCTCACTCCTGAAACCACAGAACACTTTTTTACTTAACATTTAGTTTAAGATACCATGAAATATCAAAACACGATTGAACTTTTGATTCACGGTCCTTTACAGTACAATGCGTATTTTAGACTACATATGGAGTGCATTCAATAAAACATTGACAAAACCTCTCATCTACACATAAAGAATAAATAAAAGCCAAAACTTTAACAAACAAGTTTAACAAGAGCTAACATTAAGTTAGTTAACGTAATATTACCCCGACGCTAACGTTACCAGTGCTAATATGCTAACGGACTTTTACGAAGACTTACCACTCTTATATAACATAATATTCAACTGAATATTCATCAATTGCCAATAATAAATGTGTGAGGAACAGTTTTATGTAGTATTTGCTTTGTTTTAGGGACTAAACTTACCTGAAAACAGTCAAAACGGCAGCTTGAGAGAAGTCGTGTTGTGTCTTTTAGGTGGTGTCGTGTCGTGTTGTAGCTTCGTTTCCCATAGCAACATCCTCTCCGCTCCAGTGTTGGAATGAGACGCGCGCGCGCACATCAAAGTCATGCAGTATTACATTTATAAGCATGATCACTCCAAAGACAATTTAAATAATAACCTTGTATTTTATATCTTGAATTTAAAATGTATTTAGCAGTTTTATATACGCTATTATCTTTAAGACGAGCTTTATAGCCTACTAAACTGTTACAAAACAAACACTTTATTTGTGCATCAGATTCATTGTCAAAAATAAATAACCAATAAATATAAATGCAAGTATATATAAAACAAAGATGTCACTCTGTAAAAAGGTGTTTATTTTAATTAAACAGCCGAAATGCAGCACATACTTGATTTTTACACTGGGAAAAATGTATTAGAAAAAGCCACAATAAAAAAAAGCAAACAGCAGTTAACACCAGAAAAAAACAACGTTTTCATTATTAAAGCATAACAATAAAACTTTTTATATTTTAATGAATTGAAATCATGTATTGTAGGCATTTTGGTCAGTTTTACTGCATTAATGTAGGCTATTTAAAGCTGGACCGACCGACGCAGTTCACATGATGCATGTCGCGTTTGTCTAATTTATTATGCACGCAAAAACTTACTTGTAAACCAAATATGTTGCCGGATTCTTTCATGGGCATGAGAGATCAAGTGCTTATGAAGTGCTTCGTCGGCCTCTGGTCGTTAACCGACGCAGAGCCGACGTTTGTTGAGCTGGAACAATAGAACACACGACCGAACGATCATGCGTATGTTTGGCCGACCATATACCGATGTTAGAATTAAAGGGGCCGACGTGTTGACCTTCGGCCGACGTCGGCCCAACGTATGTGTGCTGTCTGGGTTCATTTTTTTTACCGTGTTGTACCCAAATAAATGTCTGTTTCCACAATGTTAGTGGTTGATTTCCGTGAGTTGTTCTGTAAAGGAGTGTCATTAATTTGGCTCTCAAATTTTTGTTCTTTATTAAAAAACACTTTACAAATGTACAAACCCTGTCATTGTCCGTGTACTCCGCCCAATTAAACCTACAGCTTTAATAGTCTTATGATAAAAAAAAATGTTTTTTTAGAAAGAAAAAAACTTTAGAAAAAGCAAGTTTAAGTTGCTATCATTCACACCAGTTGATTAAAAACATGAAATTATAAAGTCCTGTTCACAACAGTGAAAGTGAAAGTAAACAATGAGGAAGCTCATCTCTCATTCTCGCGCTGCAGATGCTATGTTTAACTGTTTTCTCGCTAGTGAAGTGTTCAGTTTTTCCACTTACAAAGTCATCATGTAAATAGCAAATGCACCATGGCGTGAAGCAACTTTCTTTTGAAGGGAAATTCCCGTTAATGTTACAACTTCTCTTTCCGGAAAATAGCCAGAATGAATTTACCGGTATTTTCAAAAAGGGCCTGTTCACACATTGCCGGTAATTTTCAGGAAAGATCTGTATGTGTAAAAGGGGCTATTGATTGGTTTATTCTCAAAACACACTATAACTCATTAAGAGAATAAGCTCAACCCTGTTAGACCATGCACCACAGTGCAAAAGCAGATTTTTCCATCCTTAAAGGGTCACGAAACACCAAAACACATGTGTTGAGCTGTTGACAGTGGTATATGTGTCCCACACTGCTAAAAACACTATTAGGACACATATATTTCACTAAAAAGTGTAAATTGGTTGTTTTTGCGTTATTTCAAGCAAATTCGTACTTCCGGTTTGAAACGAATTTTTGAAGCTGCGTCACGGTCATGACATAATAGCGTGTATTCCAGCGTGCAGACTGGACGTCTGTGCCAGAGTGTGTCTTATTACGTCTTACAGTGTGCTGCATTAATGCATGAGTAAAGCTTGGTTCAAACCAATCAGCGCGCTCTATTGTGCAACTTCATTAATATTCATTACTGTCACAGTGTTTAGACGACAGAGACGCCACGTTGTGTTGGCAAAACAAGCGTGAAGTGTTGCTTTTATAGTTTGCTGCAGTGAAGTTTTGTTTTCATTTTCTCTCTGTGAGAGCGCAGCTGGAGTCACGTGTGGATTAACAGTGTACGCGACGCTCCACAACAATAACTTACGTGTCTAAGGAGGATTATTGTTTACCTGAGAGCTGTTCTCATCTGCAAACACTGAGATCCGGATTCGCTTGTAGTCTCCTCTTAATAAAGACGCGGCTCTAGTTGCTGGTGATTGTCCTCTCTCTACAGATTTGGTAAGTGAGCGACCAGTGCTCTTTGTTTATTCAGTTTGTTCGTATCGAACTAAGTTAACTATTGCACCGAGTGTAAACATGTTAGCACCACAACCAAACTTTAACCTCGTGTAGGATTTTCACCGCATTTAGTGACCGGAATAACACACGCGGCTTTCTGACGCTACCTGCCGTGTGCATCTAAGTTTCCGGGAAATGCAGAGGGTTTTTTTCTCTCATTCGCCGTGCGGTATCAAACATTGCATGAAAAATACACGCTTAGAGCAGTTCCTCGAATCAAATATCTCGTTTGTCGTGAGGGGCATGAATGAATTCCCTGAATGAAAGAGCCAAACTGCAGTTAAAGTCCACCATTTAATCATTTGGCAGATAATTCGACTACAGATGTCCATGTAAACACAGTCACTTTCTCCCCTGTGTGTGTGTGTGTGTGTGTGTGTGTTTTGACTCTGAAACTCAGCGTGCCCAAATAGACACTCCCACGGCATGGTTCTTTTCTTCCCCCGACACTGCCCCTAAACAGAGCTGGACACGCCCACTTTTCTGACTTTTTCCAAAGTAGAGGTGTGAAAACACCCTGCTGAAACGAGGGGTTTCATGGCCCTTTAAAATAGAAAAAGTGAATATATTGGATATATAAGTGGATATATTGTAGGCTACAAAGTAAAAATATTTATTGCAAAATCAGGTTTATTCTATCAAATATTATTTTCCTACCTCATCTGAAGTTAAAACATTTACATTTTGTTGCCTAAAGTTTAATATAAACATAAATGAATAGTCATTTTTACCATTATTACGGCATTAAAAAAGCTCTAAATTACATTTTAAATTTGGCAGAAATGCCTCCAGTAGTTTACAGTCAAAAACAAACCATATTTTATGCAAACACACAATCATAAATCATAAGAATTTCAAGTGGTCTTCCATATACTATATGGTTTTCCATATACCATTCGCCCACTGTGAAATTGTTATTCTTTTTCAAGTATTTCCCATGTTCCAAATTCCAAATAAGAGTAAAAACAGTGACACATACACACATTCATATAACGAAAACACTAATTTATTAAAAAGGAATGCATATTATCTGGAAGTACACAGAGATTAAAATGCATTGGTCTATACAGATTGTCTTATACGTACATCTGCTGTTTCCTGAGTTGTGCTTTGTACATTTCTTTGAATTGACTTTTATAATGAAGCATGTAATGGTCAGATTACAGTCCCGTAATGATGAAATGGCTTTAAATGAAGTGTAAAGGATTTTTATGCGATTGCTGATTTGTAAACCAACAATTTAATCTAAGAGTTTTGTTGTAGGCGACAAAGAAAAAAATATTTATTGAAAAAAACCAAGCTGTATGGGCACCTGAAAATTGTCAGTTTCTCTGAATTCACTGGATTTAGGTTATTAGGTGGTTTCAGGGAAAAGTTTTCCTTAAAGGTCTGATAACAGCACACTGTAAAAAAATCTGTAATTTTACAGTTTATTTCCAGCAGCTGGGATGCCGGGAAAACAAAGTAAAATAGCGAAATTAAATTAAATTCAATTCAATTCAATTAAATTACAGAAATATACTGTAAAATAACAGAGGTTGAATTACAGAAATTTAACAGAAATTAAAATAAAATTTAAGGCAATTTGTGTAATTTTATGTCAGTTATTTTATGTTTTTTTCCAGGTACCTCAGCTGCTGTAAATAAACCGTAAAATTACGAATATTTTTTACAGTCTACCTCCAAATGTCTGAGCATTAAAAAAAATTCCCATAAAATTACAAGAAATATTTATAAATATTTTCATTTGTTTTGTTTGAAAAATATTTTATCAAATATTAATATTAATATTCTTACCTCTTCTGAAGCATGTTGTTGCCTAAAATTTAATACAAACCTGTCTGAACAGTCACTTTATCCATTATTAATGCATTTTCAAAAATCTCTAAATTACATTTTAAATTTGGAAGAAATGCCTCCAGTAGATTACAGAAAAAAAACAAACAGTATTTTATGCAAACACACAATCGTAAATCATAAGAAACTGAGAATTTTCAAGTGGTCTCCATTACATTTTCCATATATACACTGTAAAAAAAATAAAATCTGTTATTTTACGGTTTTTGGCTATAGGGTGCCAGAAAAAAACGTAAAATAACAGCCATTAAATTACAAATAATTACCACAAAATAACAGACGGTAAATTCTTCATTTATTGGGTTTTACAATACTCAGTTGGTTTGAGTTCTCTTCATTTATTCGGCTTTTACTCTGCTCAAATTGCATCATTTACTCAAATGGATTAAGTTCACAGTATTAGTTTTTGAACTTAAATGGTTTGTAGCAATCGGTTCTTCTCAAATGGTTTGAGTTACCTTAACTTATTGGGCTTTACAGTGTAGCATTTAGTCCTCACTGAAAATAATTATCCAAAGACGATTCCTTGAATTTACTAAAATATTTTAAGTTAAGTGGTTGTAAACAATTTCTTTGGGCTGGATTTAAACAAACAAATTAAGTTAAACATTCCTAAATGTAATTTGTTTGATTAAATTCAACACAAATAAATAGTTTGCAACAATTTTGCAGACAACTTTTTTTTTTTTTCAGTGAAGTCTTCATAATGGTCTTAAAATGTTTTTAAAAGCTTTGAATTTAAACCTGCAGAAACACTGTTTAAATATTGTTATGTTTTTAATAACTAGTTTCTTTTGTCTTTTAGTGACCTTGTAAAAAATAAAACTATGATTTTGTTCTTGCTCCCGAAGAAAAATTGCAAATACAATAAAAAAAAACCTCTGTTGCTCTATCAAACATCACTAGGTCACTATATTTAAAATATTATATATATTTATATCTATAAATGAGAAAGTAGAATATATTTGTAGCGCACACAGCCTGCCATCCTGTATACACGCATTAATATTTTACAGGTTTGATCGGATATAATCATATGATCATTGTCTGATTTCAGTCAGTTTTTGCGTCTCTCCTGCTTGCCGAGAGTCTGTCCGTGTTTTCTCTGCTCCTCTTAACAGTGGCTCGAGCGACGGCTTCATCGAAACACAAACTAACGCAGCGTTTCTCCTCTTTCTCCAGCTTCTTCTCCTCCTCCTCCTCTTCTTCATCCTCCTCTTCATGATGATGATGATGATGAAGCTCCTGCGAGAGTCTGTTCTCGAAGCGCTTCCTCAGGTTTAACGCGGTGAGTTTGGAGTTTTGTGGTTTGGGAGGAACAGCAGGAACCGCTCTGGTTTGATGAGCTGCTCCTGCTGCTGTTTTACGTGGAGAATCTCTGCGCTGGATGGTGATCTCCTCTTCAGAATGAGTCTGCTGGATTATTCCTGCTTTTTCTCCAGAGATCGTGATGTTATTTACGTCAGCAGAACTCGAAGTGTGTCCTTCAGCGTTTGCTGCATTATCATCATGCATTTTAGTCTGTTGTTTTGGCTTTTCTCCTGCATTTTCTTCATTGTTTTGCTCTGTATCATTCATTTCTGTGGCTTGTTTTTCTTCTTTCTCACATGTGGCGTTTTCCTCATTGTTTTGCATTTCTGTCTCTTGTTTTAGTTCTTTGTCTTCATCGTTTTGCACTATATCATTAATTTCTGTCACATTCTCTTGATTTCTTTCTTTATTTTTCTCATTTTCTGGATTATCTTCATTGCTATCTTGCATTTTGGTCTCTTGTTTTTGTTTCTCTCCCTCATTTTCAGCATTGTTTTGCTCTAAATCTTGCATTTTATTCTGTTGTTTTTGCTCTTTTTTCTCATTTTCAGCATTGTTTTGCTCTATATCTTGCATTTTAGTCTCTTGTTTTTGCTCTTTTTTCTCATTTTCAGCATTGTTTTGCTCTAAATCTTGCATTTTAGTCTCTTGATTTTGTTCTTCTCCCTCATTTTCAGCATCGTTTTGCTCTAAATCTTGCATTTTATTCTCTTGTTTTTGCTCTTTTTTCTCATTTTCAGCAAGTTCTTCATTATTTTGCTCGATGTCTTGCCATTCGATCTCTTGGTTTTGTTCTTCTCTCTCAGTTTCTGCATTGTTTTGCTCTATTTCTTGCAATTCAGTCTCTTTCATCTCATCTTCTGTATTTTCTCCAATATTATCTTGCATTTCGGTCTCTTGTTTTTGTTCTTCTTTCTCGTTTTCTTCCTCGTTTTGCTCTGAATCTGTCACGTTCTCTTGGTTTTGTTCATTATTTTGCTCTAAATCTTGCACTTCACTCATTTGACTTTGCTTTTCTTCTGCATTCTCTTCATTACTTTGCTCTATGTCATTCATTTGAGTGACTTGTGTTTCTTCTTTCTCACATTTGGCGTTTTCTTCAACATTTAGCTTTAGATTTTGCATTTCAAGTGCATTATTTTGCTCTATATTATTAATTTCCATCACATTCTCTTGATTTCCTTCTTTATTTTGTCCTAAATTGTCCATGTCAGTCATTTGTTTTTGTATTTCTCCTGCATTTTCTTCGTTATTTTGCTCTGTATCATTAATTTCACTCATGTCCTTTAGTCTTTCCTCCTCATCATTAGCATTTCCCTCATTATTCTGCTCTACATCTTTCATTTCAGCCGCTTGTTTTTCTTCTCTCCCCTCATCTTCTGCATTTTCCTCATTATTTTGCTGTAAATCTTCACTTTGAGCGGTTTTCTCTTGTTTTTGTTCTCCTTTATCGTCATCTTTTGCATCTTCCTCTAAATCTTCTTGCCTCTCTGTGTTGTTTTGATCGTGTGCGCTCTCTAAATCTTCATTGTTTTCAGTCTTGTTCTGTTCTTCATCATCTTGAAGTGTTGTTTTCACGCTGGATTCTTTCTCGTCAGTCTCTCTTTGTGTCTTGATCTGCGTTTGTTCCTCTGATGCAGAATTTCTGTTGATGTCTTCATGAACACTGATATGGTTTTTCTCGGGCTCTGGTGATGATGGTATCGAATCCGGTCCGAAATACGTGTCCTCTTCACTTTCTGCAGATTCTTCTTCTCTTCTGCACACAAACAAAAGGCAAATATTACACAATTAATACACATTTCATGCCGTTTCATAGTAATGCAACATTGTGCACCGAGGCTTAGAAGCATGTATCAAAAAATGATGCATCTCGCAGTGAAGTTGTACTATTAATGTTTTATTTACAACTATTTTTAAAGAAGGCCACGGCTTATTGTAATATAGTGTATACCAAAGGCCAGCTGGCATGTGCAGACCAAAAGCCTCCTCTTTAGAGCATTGACCTCCAATGCTGGAATCGCTGGTTTGATCCCTGCTCGGAACGAATGGGTGAGTGCAGGACCAGTTGTAATATGGTTAATGTAAATACTGTTGAATGCCTTGGATTTTACTACAGTCATCGGTGGTGTATAACATTCCTTATATGTAAAATTACAGAACAGTGACTGGGTAATTAATTACTTTTGTTGTATGTCTACTTAATTGAGTTGGTCTGTTGTGAGCATTTGACATTTTTGCAGCACAGTGCTTTCCCACACTTTAACCAGCAGAGGTCGATTTGGAAAGCTTCAACGTTTTTCCAATGCAACAGAGTCAAACGATTCCAATAGTATCTGGATGCAGCCTTTATGATGCAAGCTGAGATTGCATCACTCAGCGATGCAATGTCAGACACAATGCACTCAATGGAGTGAGTGACGTCACTGTGACGGGTAGGGTTAGGGGTGGGGTTAGGTGAGCGCATTAAAAAGCATTGGATGCAGCTCAGATTGCACTGCACCGAGTCTGCAGCCAGACCCCTCTCAATGATTCACTGGTTCAGAAAGCTTCGTTTAACCATCGCAACCATTCCAAACCAATATTCTTTTCATTATAATCTTTTTATTAATATTATTGTCAGTAGAGAAGATTAGAGCATTTATGTGAACACAAGCTCTAAATCTAAATAAATGAAAAAAATTGACTATATATATATATATATATATATATATATATATATATATATATATATAGTT